CTCGCCTTCATAAAATTCGTCATCTGAATACCAGTTCTCTCCAAAACCCTAATACGTAGCTATTTTCTACTGTCAAAAATTACGTGTCTTTTATCATTCTTCCATGAACCAGAATAAATTTTGGTATGTTTGCCATCAGGCCCAACAACACTGAGAACGCCGAATCCACTGCGCTTTCCAAATTTCCATTGCCCTTCGTAGATAAGTTGGGTATCTTTCCATACGTATTGACCCTGCCCTTAATTTATTATGTTAGTCATTATTATTCCCAACCATGCTTCTTATTGTTTTTCCATTCACCAGTGTACTGATCTCCGTTTACAGAATAAATAGTGCATCGGAGGCCATTGGTTTTTGCTTTTTCAATGTTTTCTTCGACAAAGGATTTTGCTTTATTGCATTTCGATTTGTTCATTTTACGGGAAACGGCATGTGTCAAATTATGGACAGGTCACAACACCGAGTAGTCAAGGTCGCCGGGTCACTTAGATACATCAAAGGCCAAAACATTTATCTTTTAAAACAAGGCTGGCAGTTCCTGAATAGTACGTTGTAATTCTGCAATAATCCACGAACACATTAAAGATGTCTTACGTTCCTAAGAGTCTAGTACGAAAGCGGAAATGGGAATGAAAATGAATTACAGTTTATCTGAGCGGGTAGGTGCCGCATAAAGTAAAAAACGGGAGTAAATTGAGACGATGTAATACGGAAACCTTCCAAATAGTAAGGAACAGTCATGTTGTAGGCATTTTTTTTAAAACTGTTTAGCACTTTTTCTTACACAAATTTTACAATATCTTGCGTTTATCCTTTGTAAAATCCTTTTTTTACAGTCCATCCTACTTTCTCGACCCTACGAAATCGCATTCCTCCACGTATATCCTATACAAGCATGTTTATTTAAAATAAGGTCTCCATAGTAAGTGTAATACTTTTGCAAACTTAAAACTACATAAATCCTACTTTTATTCAGTTTCTGTGTTCTCACATTTCGGTTTTCCACTGCAAATCATGCCCTCCATATATACATTGGTATAGCTCACCTGAACTTCTAAAATACAGTCAGCGTCGTTTCTCCCAACCTGAGATTAATCGGAAATATAATGGCCCAGCTAGAAACTGTACTCGTCCAGTTTGAACCAGATGTTTTGAACTATAGATAACCATAGTTTATTCCGATCGGCCCATGGTTGTCTTTATTTCAGAGCCCCACTTTTTAGTTCGCCCTATCGTCTGGTATTTTATTACATTTACAGAAGTATCTGTTTGGTGTGGGTCTTGTTCCTGCGAAATAGGAAGGCTTCTTTGGGCTGCGTATATAATCCGCCTTGTTACTCCGAAGATGAATGCCCCCTCGTTGAACTGTTTGAAAAATTCCCACGGACTCCATTTGATGTCAACATAATCGTAAGCAATTTTAACTTGGCAGAGATTGACTGAAACACAAATGCTCCTCCAACTAAATCCCATTTTTATGTGGATACTATCCATTTGTCGTGATAGTTTCAAGTAAGCCACTTATCGATCAAGTACTATAGTAAATTGGATTTGCTTTTTTTCTGTTGAAAGGCCTTGTTTATTGACAAATTCTCATTATGAACTTCTTGCGAGCTATCACGCATTATTTCGTTTTTATTCAGTTTGCCTGCAGCAAAGCTGGCAGTTATACGTAAGTACCTTGATTGTGCGAATTTTACCAGGCATTCTGGATTCGCATAATTCATTTGAATAATAATTCTAGATGGATCCAGGATTAATTGTAGTGCCTAACTTAAGGACTTCTCGACTAAATTCCACTGAACACGTTTACAGCGAATTCTTCATTTTCGACTGTCCACACTTTCATAAATACCGAATCAAATAGGTTACATAATCGTCTTGTGAATCCGCCCATAAACGCATTATCTGTTTACTAAAGAATTGCGGGGACATTTGAACTAACCTAAAAATGAGGCTTGGTGAGATAGATGCAGGAAGACTTAAGCTCTTGGTAATGCAAATCCTTACAGATATCTTACTTAGGTTTACCGTCAAAGATCGTACGCTGAATCCCACCGGGCCAACCCAACTTTGTCTACTACAGTAATCTCGTTACAGAGGTTTTCGAAAGAACGCTATTGTCCTATTCTTTGGTTGTCACATTTCTTACTTTTGAAACTGACTGAATCCCTCAATATTCCCAGCCATCTGATGAATTCCCCAACTCCACTAATCTTGCTTCTGCAAGTAACCAGAAACAGCGACTTGCATTCTGTTAGAACTGATAGTATATCGAACTCTTTCATTAACGTCTAGAAGATTTTCCTACCCCGTTGAGAATATTTTTTCGGTCTATATCAAAAACGGCTTCTTTACTGGCTCTCGTTCAAATGTTCAAAATTTGTGCAAACATTGCCCTTATTTGAAGACGTCTCTGATGACTGATTCGAGTGTTAGTCCGAAACGTCAAACAAGCAAACGTTCTGATCATGCAGTTAAGCCTGTTTCTTCATCAATACCCATCTTTAGACTTTAAATTAAATAATAAATATGTAAATGCAAATTTAAAAAACGAAGGCCACTTACATACACGTAGTCCAGTTGAGGCAGACGGTCACGCGGCCAACGGAAGACCTACGGAGGCTGTCTGTTATGTCGAATGACAGAGACATCGGTGCGCATTGTGGGCCAAAACCAAACCCAAATATTCAAGCGGAGACTCCGAACAAAGCCGAAGCGATCTTCTTTAACGAAAAACACAGAAACACAGAGGAAAATGATATCAACACGAAGATGAAAGTATAGTTCACTGATATGATTTTGTTTAGCCTAATAGGTAGTTTATCCGCAGACAGTGAGACGAGTACATTGGAAAATAACGCTCAGTCAGTCGAAAGATATGTGATAAAAACGTGGACTAGATTCAGTCATAAGAAAAATGTAGCTTTAAAAGGAATCCCAGAATCAACGCCAACAATTCCAAAGGAAAAAGTAAAACACGACTTAGACCTTCTTCGAATTAATGCGGAAGCCTTGTTAAGAGACGGTAAGTCACTTAATGTTCTCAAAGCATTCGGTACAGGGAAGACTCAATCAGCGCCTGATTCGAATTCTCGGCCCCGATCCCCAATAGTCATTTTGGGGACTGAGGCGCAGGCACAGCTCCTATTACAGAGAAGAACACCTCCGTGGTGTCAGTATCCCAAAGTTTTTTCAGTCAGATTACGAACCAAAAGAACGAGTGAAAATGAGGGAGTTGATAACGGACCTGGAAAAGCGGAGGAGCAGCGACGAAACACACCTACACATCAAGAGCGGACAAATTATTCAGGTCAAAAGAACATTTCTCTGGCCGACGTTCGTCATTTGGACAGCCTAACCAATGGAAAGATGTCAACCATTGAGGCTGTGAGCACTGGTAGTCGCTGTCTGGAAATCTATTACATTAACTGTCAGAGTCACCTTAACAAGCCAGATGAACTCGGATGAGTAGCCTCTGAGCAGAAGCCTCACACAAGTGTCGTAACCGAGACATGGTTGACCGAAGAAAATAGCAACAGCGAAGTCAGCATTGGAGGCTACCAAGCGTTCTTTTTGGCAGATTTCAACGTAGAGAGGAGGAACAGTGACTTTTGTGTCAAATGAAATTCCTTGCTGTCAGAGAGAAATAAGCGTTGTGGCACCACGAATTTGTGGAATAATTTCATGCTACATACTTATCAAATACTTACCGACGCGTAACCTATGTGTTGTCTATTGGCCTCAGAGCTCGAATGCCACCTCCGATACGGAATTACTTAGTGCGCTGGACTTATTGTGTAAGCAGGAGAACTTACTACTTCTGGGTGGCTTAAACGTTCCCTGAGTAGACGGGAAAATTCCTTTGACAAAGGCCCCGTCCACGTCATTCGAACACAAGCTACTACAATTCCCTCTGAATGAATCCATCAATCAGTACAGAAAAGTCGGGACAAGGATTAGAGTAGGACAACGATCTAACTGTGTAGGTCTCGTTTTCAGTAAAGAAGAAGGCGTCATAAGGAAGATAAATACACAACCTCCACTCGGTTTAAGTAACAATATTGCTTTGACCTGCGTATGCTTTCGCTATCGAGCCGACAACCGAAAATCAGGAGACGCAGACATATCTGACTTTGATGAACTGAGACGTGCTCTTTTGAAGAAAACCTGGCTAGTCAACATGGATGATTCAGAAGAATACTGGCAGTTCTTTCGCTGGATTAATGAGCGTTCAGCAGACTCTCATTGTACAATAAAAATAACAAGACCATGTGCGCGACCGTCGTGGGTCACTCCAATGACAAACGAGACCATGAAGAAGAAGCAGAGGCTGTGGAAAATATTTTCATCTTCAAGATCCAACAGCATTCGCCAAATATAAGGTTCAGCGCAATAAATGGCGCAAAAAAATACGGATTGCTGGGACCGCTCTCGAGCGCTGAATGATAGCAGAATCCATTGTGTTTCCCAAGACGTTTTATGGGTACATCCGCAGTGAAGAAAACAAAAGGGTGAAATTGCGTGTATAAAGGAGGGCCTCGGAAATTTATTAGTTGAAGGGCCACGAAAAGTGGAATT